AAGCTACATATTTCAGTGAGCAGGCTTAGCTCTTGATCAGTCTCAGGACTGCAAATCTGAACCAGACCAAGTAACGGAAAAAAATATAGTGCATGTAAATGATTGCCAGTATGTTATACTTGATGCAGGTTCCTCCTCTTCATCTCTAAGAGAGACGAAAATGCAAAAAGTAAAACTCCCAAGAAACATAAAAGAGCAGTCAACAGAAATACTAGTCAGTAATAAATGGCAGCAACAGCCCCAGTTCAGTGGTGTATCAAGCTCTTTGCCACAACACTCACTACAGGCATGATGGACCTAGTAAAATATCTAGCACGTCGTGAGCTAGTGAGCAGTAGTTTAACACACTTTGATGATCACCCTGAAAGTTACAGAGCCTGGAGGTCCTCATTCATTAATACAACAAAAGACATGGGTCTTACAGCCGGTGAGGAGTTAGACTTGTTGTCAAAGTGGCTCGGCAGAGAGTCTTCTGAATATGTGAGACGTCTCAGGGCAGTTCACATAGGAAACTCAGACGCAGCTGTTTAAGAAATTAGACAGTTTTCCCAGGATTTCAGATAAAGATAACCTCAAACTAAGAGAGCTCTGAGATCTTTTAATGGAGATGCTCTCAGCTAAAGAAGACGGTTATCTACCAGGCTTAGCCTATTTAGACACTGCTCGAGGCATCAGGCCAATAGTCGAAAAATTGCCATATACCTTACAAGAGAAATGGATTTCTCGAGGCTCAAAGTACAAAGAAGCGTTTGGTGTTTCTTATCCTCCTTTCTCGTTCTTTACTCAGTTCATTTGCAATCACACTAAAACACGCAACGATCCCAGCTTTGCTTTTTCCAGTAGTTGTCATACACAGTATGAAAGACTCCCTCAAAGACGCACTAGAATCAAGACACCAGTGATGGTACACAAAACTGAAATCTCGCATGATGCACCTCAAGACAAAATGCCTTCTAAAGATGACCCAGCAAAATATTGTCCCATCCACAATAAACCCCACCCTTTAAGGAAATGTAGAGGCTTCAGACTACCTCGTTTGAAGTAATCGTGCTTCTTATAACATTGTCCAGAGAAACAAGTGTTAATGATAAATCCCCTGTGTCGTTTGTACTGGCTATTGTATACAGGTCACCAGGGCACCATACAGACTTTATTAAAGAATGTGCTGATTTTATATCCGAGTTGGTGCTGGCTGCAGATAAAGTTTTAATTGTTGGTGATTTTAATATCCATGTTGATAATGAAAAAGATGCATTGGGATCAGCATTCAAAAACATTCTGAGCTCTATTGGGGTTAGACAACACGTCTCAGGACCTACTCATTGTCGAAATCATACTCTAGATTTAATACTGTCACATGGAATTGAAAATTCCACTCTCAAAACTGAATCATTTCTTAGATGAGGACGGCCTACTCCGAGTCTGAGGCAGATTCAAACAGGCAGATTTAAGCTACCCAGAGAAAAACCCAGTCATCTTACCTGGCAAGCATCACGTCTCTGCATTACTCATACGCCATTACCATGAACGTGTGGAGCACCAAGGCTGCATATTCACAGAGGGGGCCATTCGTGCCGCTGGAATATGGCTTATCGGAGGCAAGAGATGCATATGAAGTATTCTTCATTCATGTGTAACCTGTTGAAAACTTTGTGGCAAACTAAAGTTGCAAAAAATGTCAGACTTGCCACCAGAAAGGCTGAGTGTATCACCACCCTTTACTTACACTGGTTTAGATGTCTTCGGCCCCTGGACAGTGGTAGCTCGCCGCACAAGAGGAGGTCAAGCTCACAGTAAATGCTGGGCGGTGCTTTTCACCTGCATGAGCACCCGTGCAGTCCACATCGAAGTAATTATGTCCATGGACTCTTCGAGTTGCATCAATGCACTTCGCAGGTTTTTTGCAATCCATAGTCCTGCAAAACAGCTGCACTCTGATTGCGGAACTAACTTCATTGGCGCCTGTAATGAGCTTGAATTCATCAAAGTGGCAAAAGAATCAAAGGTGCAAAGGTACATCAATGACCAGGAATGCATATGGGTTTTCAACCCACCACACTCCTCCCATATGGGAGGTGCCTGGGAGCGCATGATTGGTCTAGCTCGCAGGATTCTCAACTCAATGTTGATGCGCGAAGGACTCTCCAACCTCTCCGATTAAGTACTTTGTACTCTCATGGACGGAAGTGTCAGCAATTATCAACAACAGACCTCTAGTACCTGTATCCATGGATGCAGACTCACCCCTGATACTTTCTCCTGCAATGCGTTTAACACAAAAAACAAGCGATACCAGATATATTTGTAGAGTATAATAGAGTAACGGTCTTTATGTGTGTGTGTGTGTGTGTGTGTGTGTGTTAGTTTACTTGGCCAGCCCGGCCCATCGGGGCCATTTACAGCTCTTTAAACAGTGTTTGAAGTCAGATTGAGGAGATGATAGTGGGGGCTGGTTCGAATCTTCTTGACGGCGAAGAACCATCTGGCAATTTAAAACCCCTATACAAATGTAAAGTCTCTGACCAGAGCTGTAATTTATAAACACCAATTCTTAAGCCATAAACACCCAACGCTCATGCATGATTCTACGCAGACGCTACACGCACCACCCCCAAGAGGAAACTTCTCGCAGAAAGACATTTACAAACACCAGTGGCGACAAGTACAGAGCCTAGCCAACCAATTCTGGTGTCGCTGGAAACAGGAATACCTTCAAACACTGCAAGTGTGGCGCAAATGGCAGGAACCATACCCAAACATCCAGGAGGGCGACATAGTACTACTAAAGGACAAACAAGCAGTCCGAAATGAATGGCCCATGGCAGTAGTCACAAGTGTTTTCCCTGATAAAGACGGATATGTTCGCAAGGTTGAACTTAAAGTGACTAAAGAAGGGTCCAGAAAAACTTTCCTAAGGCCTGTATCTGAAATCATTCTCCTTCTAAGAAAATACGAAAATGCCTTTGAACAGTTTGTTACAGATGACATCTTTATAGATGTCAGACGGGGAGTGTTCAGTGGGTGTATATAAAGGAGTTGTTAAGGACACGGGAGGTTGCGTCACTGTTTCTGCTACTGCTGGTTCCGTTGTCTGGCGTCTGGCTGCCTGGTGTTGGAGGCTGGTGTCTGTTCAGTGCTCTCCATGGCTGTGTTGTCTTGCCAGTGTGAAAATTCGGCATATTGAATCCCCGCTGTTTACATTGCTGTGTGCGTGTGTGACTGCTGTCTTCCTGTGCACATTGAAGGTTGTTCGGCCGGATGAGTGACATGCTTCCCGCATGCTGATGTAAATCAGTGCATTAGCGGGCCTTATTCCGCTCTGCTGCTGCATGGCCGGATGTTTCGACGGTGCTGTTTGCCGTGCTTGTGGGGGTGCTAGAGTGCCCCGTCCTTTGCTGGTCTCTAACTTACAATTGTTGCTTGCTGGTTAAGTCTTTTCTTTTGTTTGTCTGGTTTGTTTGTTTGTTTGTTTCTTAATCCTGCTGAAATAAGATAACTGTACTCCCGGTGTACCAGTTTGTAGTTTAAACCACTTGTAATGTTTTAAATTGATCGTGGTACTCAACTTTGGAGCTAGTGTTCCAGGTTTAACTGTTGGGTTTCCATTTTTTTCTTTGAAGAAGAGAATTTGTCAAATTGATTTGTGAATTATTTTTATTTTTGTTAATGATGTTGTAGTGTTATACCAGCTGGAATTGTTATTTCCTTTCTATTTTCAGGAGCTGGGGAAACCAGAGAGGGCAGGCTATTTATTTTTTTGGTGTGGGAGTCCTGTTTTCAAATTGTGCAGTTTTCCTTTCCTTATATTTTTGGAGTGGATTTCACTAATGTGGGATTTGTTATTTTTTTGTGCACATGTGGAAATTAGTGTGGGCCTCTGGAAGGCCTAGTCTTTAGCCTGCCTTACTACTGGTGAGCCCCAGTTCCTTGGGTTGGTTAATTTATACTTTTTTTTCTCCTTTAGTTTGTTTCTCTGTTTATTTGCTTCTATGCCACAGCTAATTCCTACTGTCTGAGACCGTCTACTGTGAACCCAATATTGCCTATTACCTGTCTCTTCTTTTTAACTATTTATGGTTAATAAAAATGTTGTATTAAAATTAATAAAGACTGGTGAATTTTCATATCCACGTCTCATTATCCCTTTATTGAGGACAAAACTCGAACCGGTGTGCTTTGTCTTTGTACTCCCTGGGTAGTAATACGGGGTGGCGTAGTCGTCAATAGAGTAAAATGTATCTTGCTGTTGTGTGATCTGTTTCTGACCTTCACCTGCCACAGAAGCAATCAAAATCAACAAGAGAGCAATGAAATGCAAGTGCTATAACAAGTCTCAGTTAGCTTAATACAGTACACGTAGCATTTTTATTATTATTATTATATAATAAATAAAAAGAAAACGGATAGAATAGAAAAAGAATAGAGCAAGCTAGTGTTAGAGGCTTTTTTTGCTTTTGTTAATTGTATAAATAAAAAGAAAACAAATAGATAGAATACAAAAAGATTAGAGAAGCTATGGTTTTTGTTGTTGTTGTTTTTCTTTTTAAGAAAACAAGCAGTTAGTAAATGAACAGAGTGCAAGTCTAAAAGGGGCAAGTTTTTTTTAAAGAATATGCAAAGGCAAATGTGACCATGCCTTAAGGTGTTGTTGATGATAAAAAGAACACCACTCAGCTACTCATATACTACTGTTTATAGTTGCATTTTGCATACTGTCTCATATACTGTTTTATACATATATTAATATAGTCTGCAGTATGGCGTAACAAGTAGCCCATGCTAGTATTCCATCTGTGTGTGTGTTTAAGACTGTATGCTTGTCTAATTTGCGTGTGTAATCATGTTTTGATGTTCTGCATGCCCAGAGAGATTTGCTATGTTGTATTTTGATGGATCAATAACGTATATCTCCAGTGTACATATTTCCAGTTTAACACTTCAGTTGTCTATATACTTGTCTAATTGCTGCTGAAGCCACCTGTCACTCTGTGTGTGTTTAGCTGCAGCGGTGGTGCATTCAGCAGGAGGAGGCTGCGGAGTTGGAGGCTACTCTTGCTGCTAACTGGTACAAAGAGGAAGAGGAGAGACTGAGGAAAGAACACCAAAGAGAAAAGACTAGAAGAACTCAACTGAAAAAGCAGGTGATGTCATCATTAATTAAAGTCAACATAAAATAGCATTCCCAAACCATTCACCTCTGTAATGTGACATATTATGGACATAAAAAAAAAAAAAAATATATATATATATATATATATATATATATGTTCATAGCTTAATACAGTACACGTAGCATTTTTATTATTATTATTATATAATAAATAAAAAGAAAACGGATAGAATAGAAAAAGAATAGAGCAAGCTAGTGTTAGAGGCTTTTTTTGCTTTTGTTAATTGTATAAATAAAAAGAAAACAAATAGATAGAATACAAAAAGATTAGAGAAGCTATGGTTTTTGTTGTTGTTGTTTTTCTTTTTAAGAAAACAAGCAGTTAGTAAATGAACAGAGTGCAAGTCTAAAAGGGGCAAGTTTTTTTTAAAGAATATGCAAAGGCAAATGTGACCATGCCTTAAGGTGTTGTTGATGATAAAAAGAACACCACTCAGCTACTCATATACTACTGTTTATAGTTGCATTTTGCATACTGTCTCATATACTGTTTTATACATATATTAATATAGTCTGCAGTATGGCGTAACAAGTAGCCCATGCTAGTATTCCATCTGTGTGTGTGTTTAAGACTGTATGCTTGTCTAATTTGCGTGTGTAATCATGTTTTGATGTTCTGCATGCCCAGAGAGATTTGCTATGTTGTATTTTGATGGATCAATAACGTATATCTCCAGTGTACATATTTCCAGTTTAACACTTCAGTTGTCTATATACTTGTCTAATTGCTGCTGAAGCCACCTGTCACTCTGTGTGTGTTTAGCTGCAGCGGTGGTGCATTCAGCAGGAGGAGGCTGCGGAGTTGGAGGCTACTCTTGCTGCTAACTGGTACAAAGAGGAAGAGGAGAGACTGAGGAAAGAACACCAAAGAGAAAAGACTAGAAGAACTCAACTGAAAAAGCAGGTGATGTCATCATTAATTAAAGTCAACATAAAATAGCATTCCCAAACCATTCACCTCTGTAATGTGACATATTATGGACATAAAAAAAAAAAAAAAATATATATATATATATATATATGTTCATTTTTATCCTCCATTTTCATTATTGAATGCTTGTTTAATGTCATTATGAGTCCCTTGAGGTAATACATTATCACTGATTGGTGCACTCTGAAAAACCTACTGTACTCCAGTTTGAGCATTAGTAAAAACAAAAAAGTGGAACCCCAGGGCTATGACTTCAGCTCATTAGCTTGATAAATGTGAGGCTGTGTGAGATTGTGTTGGGAATTTTGAGTGTGTGACCTTGTCTACTTCCTATTCCTCTTCACGTCCTACAGAGCTGTGTTGTGTCACTGATTAATGATGTTTATGAGAAAGGAATAGATTACACAGAGCTTTATACTCTCTTCATTGACACATTTATTCATCTATAAATGTCTACATGATTTTTCATCTGAAACAGTCAATACTAATGACTTTCATTAGTATCAATAAACTACTTTCTTTCTTTCAGATAAATAGGTTCAATGCAGATAAACAGAGGAAACAAGAGATGCAGAGAAAGAAGGATATGGAGAGGCTTGCAGAACTGAGGAGAGAGATAGAAGAACAGGTGCAGAGAGATAAAGAAAGGTAAAATACTTTGGTTGGACTTGCAAATTTGCAAAAAAGGACAACCTGCATGCCATTAGTAATAACTATTAACACCTCAGCCTTGCAAAATATAGAGCTATAGATACCGTAGTGACAATAGATACCTAGATACCAAAGCATCTTAAAAATAATGACAGTAGAAGCAATCGAACTAACAAAAGAGCAACATTATTTAAGTGCTGTGACAAGTCCCAGTCAGTCTAATACAGTACACGTAGCAATTTTTTTTTTTTTTAAAGAACAAAAAGTAGACAGAATATAAATAGGGAGAGCTAATGTTAGAGGGTCATATTATTTATGTATTTATTTATTTTTGCAAAAAAAAAGTAGATAGAATAGAAATAGAAGATAATGCTTTTTTTAAAGGGTCAATTTTTTTTATAATAAATAAAGACAAGTTAATAGAATAGAAATAGAATAGAGAGTGCCAGTGTTAGTGTCACATGCACGCTGGTGTAAACACGCATGACACCAATAATCCACAGGAGAATACTTTTAACCTACACATAGAGGATACACAAAGAGAATAAACAACCATTCCACTGTAATGTGACGATGTCACAACACAGGCCGGAGACAAGGGATTAGTGCAAATAACAGGTAAGTTTATTGAATGAGTTGCATATAGTAACAGCTTGAATGGTGAGTATTGACACGTGGAATGGTTCTGGGTTCTTATCTGAGGTAACTGGTGTTGAGTCTGTGATAGTCTGGATTTGTGCAGGAGTCGAGGAGAACAGGATCGGAAGAGCGCTGGAGCATCTGAGGGTAAGTACAGACAGGTTAGTAGCACGAGTAAGTCTGGTAAGATCGGGTAAGTGAACTGTAGACTGGACGATGAGTGTATGAGTGGAGTGTGCTTATAAAGGAGTGCTGATTGCAGGCTGCAGGTGCGGGTGATCAATAATCAGGTGACTGGGATCTGGTGTACGTCGGGACTGGTGACTGTGGTGATGATAGTGATTGTGATGGTGCAGAATCCCTGACATTACCCCCTCCTCCAGGGGCGGCTCCTGGCACCCTCACACAGCGACGGGGGCGACCACGGGCTCTGGGGGCCCCATCGCCGCGAATCCAGAATGTCCTGAACCTGGTAGATGGACGGCTGATCCAGGATTTCTGGAAGAGGGATGCTTCCGGCTCGGGGGGTCCTGGTGAGAGAAAGAAAATGGTTTAAGGAGGGAAACGTGGAAGGTAGGGTGAATGCGGTACCTGGGTGGAAGCTGTAGCAGGTAGGTGACTTCATTGATCTGCCTCTGTATGGGGAACGGACCAATGTAGTGGGGACTCAGCTTCCTGCAAGGCGCAGAACCTGGGTGGACAGCCATACTTTATCCCCTGGTTGGTAAGTGTGTTGGAGCGACGGGCATCTGCGAAGGTCTTGTGCCTCCGCACAGCGTGCTGGAGGTGGATGTGAGCTGAGTCCCACACTCTCTCACTCGGAACCAGTAGTCCACAGCTGGAACCTCCGAGGGCTCACCCATTCAGGGAAAGAGCGGGGGTTGGAAACCGAGTACGCATTGGAAAGGGTTTGCCTAGTGGTGTCCTGGCGAAAAGAGTTCTGGGCGTACTCGGCCCAAGGGAGAAAGCGGCTCCAGCTGTGCTGGTCGTCATGGCAGTATGACTTGAGGTAACGTCTGAGGTCCTGGATCTTACGTTCAATCTGGCCGTTAGTCAGAGGATGGTAGGCGGAGGAGAAGCTCACTGTGACACCCATAAGCCGGAAGAAGGCCTTCCACACGTGAGAGATAAATTGGGGGCCCTCTTCTGGAAGACCATAGTTCCTGAATGCATGGTTGAACAGGTATTCGGCTGTTTCTAAGGCCATGGGGAGTCCATTGAGGGGAATGAACTTGCACGCATTTGAGAAGCGATCTACTGCTACTAAGACACATGTGTTGCCATCAGAGTTGGGGAGATCAGTCACAAAATCAGTTCCAAGATGGGACCAGAGCTGAAGTGGAATGGGCAGTGGCACTCTCCAGCGAGTGATCTCACACGGTTCCCCTCTGACATCTGGAGAATGGAGGGTGAGCCAGGGGCATCCCAGGATGATGTCAACGGTGGGTCCCTCCAGTACCAGAAACGTGACAGTCTCTTCGTGCAAACATACAATGTGTAACTTCAAGGGGGGAGCTTTATATTTCACTCTTCCACGCCCCAGCGTCTTGTGAAATAAAATTGCCCGAGGAGCCCAAGTTGATGATGGCGGAGACTGCAACGAGTACTCTGGGGCAAGTAGTTGTATGGTATGAGAGATAACGTGGTAATTTCTGGCTCTAACTGAATGGTACTCACCACAGGGCATGGAGGTCTGACGGGACAGTCCTGGATAAAGTGATCCACTGCCGCACAGTAGAGACAGAGTCCGGACAGAGCCCACAGCAGAGACAGGCACGCGCATTCCACGCGAGTCAGACGAGTTGAGTCCAATTGCATTGGTTCTGGTACTGGGGAACTTGCGGCGGGTGATGCAGACTGGTGAGCGGCTTCAGTGGATTGGCACGCTGACAAGCGCTGAGCAATGCTGGTGGCTCTTTGCATAAAGCTTTCCAGTCCAATCATATCATCGTAGATAGACATGGATGCGCGGATTCAATCCCTGACGATAAGCACTGAGGAGGGCCACCTCATTCCAACCACCAGTAGCCGCTAGCGTGCGAAATTGCAGTGTGTAGTCATTGGTGGTGGAGGTGCCCTGTCGCAGCCGCAGCAGCTGGTCTGACACCGACAATGCTCCAGCAGCTGAACTAAACACCTCCTTAAAATGGTTAGTGAAAGCATCATACGAGTTGATTATGGTACTATTGGCATTCCATATAGCATGAGCCCACAACAGAGCTTTGCCAGTTAATAGGGAAATGAGAAAAGCTACCTTGGAGCGTTCGGTGGGGAATTTCAGAGGTTGCACCTCAAAGAACAGAGAGCCCCCACACTCAGCTGCATCACCCGCGAATGAAGCAGGCAAGGCCATGGGACTTACAGAGGCAGCGGGCGGTGCAGAGACTGGTGTGAGTGAAGTCCGTAGGGTATTGATCTGTTGTACGTCAGGGCTGGTGATTGTGGTGATGATCGTGATTGTGATGGTGTAGAATCCCTGACAGACTAACACAGACAACTGAACAGAACGGAATATAAATACACAGGGGTAAACAAGGGAACTTACTTACTCATTTAGTTCACCTGCATGTCATTAAGGGAACTAACTAGGGTGTGATAAAGACTTAACTGAAAGGGTAAAACATGAAACCAAGAAATATAAACAAAAACGCAATAAAAGACAATTCTGACAGTAATAGGGTCAAGTTTTTTTTATAAATAGCATTAAAAGAGAATAGATAGTGCTAGTGTTAGAGGGTCAAGGTTTTTATTTTTATTTATTAGATTTTTTTAATAAATAAAAAGAAAACAAGTAGATAGACTAGAAATAGAATAGAGAGTGCTTGTTTTAGAGGGTCAAGTGTAGATGGAATGTATGATTTAACTTATTTAAAATTGTAGATAGAGCTGGTATATTCAGTTATTTATTGTTGTGTGTCAGTTCAAATTGGCTTTTTCAGTGAATCAATTCAAAAGTCTAATATAACTCCATTGCGCCATCACTCAAAAATGTTAACGGAACTTTCTGCATGGGTTTTTTCATATATTACAATGACTTAAAGTATTAAAGTATTCAAATAATACTATTTCTTACTATGTATTATATGGGGTACATAGGAATAAAAATGATTAAATAATTTTCTTCCTTGTTTTCATAAAAAATGTTGGAGATGATGATTATGATGGTGTTGATGATTACTATACAATATTGAAAATATATAATTGTTTCAGCTCTGTCATGGGTTGTATGTGTTGAATAGAGTGAATTTCAGGAAAGAACAATTTCAGCAGAAACTGCAGATGCGTGAAGCTGAAGAAAAACAAAAACAGAAGTACGATAAAGAGAGAGAGGAGAGATTGCAGGCTTTACGCAACCAGGTAAACACACATTCCACCTAATGATCTGAATCAGGGTGTAAAACATAATTTGAAGCATTAAAAACAATTGTGCTTATTTGTTTGCTTTAAGGTCTCTAAAGTAGCTGAGGCCAACCCAGAGAGGATGATGGGAAACACAGTGGCGTGGAGAGTACGTCAACAGCCTGAAGAAGTGTTTACATTACAAAGGCCACTGTACCAGCTAAATACATACACTGATACACAGGTAACACACACAGCACATACTGTAGATACCATACTACTTACCCATTCACCTTCCAACACACAAACACACATGAAGCATTTTATCAGTCAACACAACTATGAATGAATGAATGAATGAATGATGTATTTATATAGCGCTTTATTGTGTATTGCTGTACACCCAAAGCGCTTTACAATCATATCAACCACCACCAGTGTGCAGCATCCACTTGGCAGTATTACTTGAGTATTACGTGCATGCCTGTTGGTTTTCAATATGAATTACATATCTTGCACACAACATATGGGCTATTTCATTATAAATATTAGATTAAAAATCAATATTTCAAATGCCATTTATAATTTGTATTTCAAATGTCTTTCATTATAATTAATCATTTAATTCATAGGCCTTCAACCCTGTTCTTGAACACCCACTGTCCTGCAGAGTTAAGCTAAAACCCTAACCAAACACACATGAACCCGTTAAACAAAACCTTCAGGATCACGTGAAAAATCACAGGCCAGGTTTGCTGAAGTAGGTTGTAAATAAAATTTGCAGGACAGTGGGTCCCCTGGAGCAGGGTTGAAGACCTAGGATTTAATTAGTTTAATTAAATTTCACATTTTACTGAATTGTAATTTCATTTTTCTCTTCCTGTCATTTTAGTGTAATTCCAGTTTAACATCTTGTGGGAAGTGGCCAATTCAATTTCAAATTCATGATTTGAAAGAGTCGATTCTTAAATTCAGAAAATTTCCCAACCCTGTCTTCTGATTGTCTGCTCATGTACATGGGACAATTTGTTTCTGCCAATAATAATGGTTAACCTGTGATGACATTTTGGGACTCTGACGTTTACAGAGTCACTGGCCAAGGCCAAACAGTGAAACAGCTTTTTTTCCAGACATTTGTTTCATAACATGGAGATTCAACTGCACATCCTGTAAATAAACATACAACAGAGATAAGTTACTGACTTTAACCTTGTTCATGTTAAAGCAGATCAACCTGTCAACAGCTGCTCTGGTTACAGAATTACAGTCTAGAAAACACTGAACTATTATAGGAATCCATTTACTTTAAAGGCTGATGTGTTTGAACTTAGATTTTGGTGACATATGGATTTGTAATCGATTGATAATGCCATGTATAATTAAAAGAGTCTCTTATTATTTTGTCTTTCTTTCAGATTGTGTCTGATCCCAGAGTGCGTATTGAACAAGCACTCAGAACCGCAGGTCTCCATAACATCCCTTATGCAAGACAGATTCTATCTGAGATCCAACCTCTGAAGCCACCCAGACGAGACACGGAGTCCACTGCCTTCAGAACCTGACCAATAATTATATGAATGTAATCATCTTTTCATATATACAAGTCATGCTGTGTCTACCTGAGGTCTACTGTCTACATATTTTTAACCATATTCCCTTGGACACTTTATTCAATATTTGGAGGATTGATTGATACGTCAAAGTCTTGATCTCAGAAGAGAAAGAATATTTCATTCCTCATGATATGACCAGCATGCTTGAGGAAAACAGACGTAACCATTTTGGGCTTATATTTTTGGGCTTATGTTTTTTTGACAGTGTTATTTACTTTTTTGTAAAAAAAAATTTGTAAAAAAAAAGAAGCATTTTGTGGTAAGAAGTGAGACTATGACCCACAACACTGTACTGCAGTTCATAAACCTCATGCAGCTTTTTATAACAAAGTTCTAAGCCATTCGAAACCTCTTGAGACACAGAATCCAGCATTTCCAGAATAATCAGTTGCTTTGAGTTTGTTATACTGTATTAATAGTATCAAGTGTTAATTAAAGTACAAACCCACATGACTCATTTCATGAACTTAACATATACTTTATTTAGATCAGTTTATTTCTACTTATACACCAAATCTACCCTCAACAATCATGTTACTACAAAATGAATGCTTAGGATTAAAAAAAATCATTTATTTGTAAAGGTACAGTGTAAAAGGCCAGTGTGAAAACACCATACATGTAAATCAAATATATATATTTTAAATTATGTTAAAATACACACAAACTGTTTCAGTACTAGTAACTAGTAAAAGTGAGGTGTGTTCAGTTCATTAGAGTTGATATATAAGGAAGTACACTGTGGATGGTGTGAAAATGTGAAAGTCACCTTTAAATAACACAAACACACTATGAACAGTATTATATACACTGTAGATCATTACAGGATTTTATGAGATAAGTCCAAGGCGTTTCTTGATGAAATGAGCCACGAGGCACTGCGGTCTCTGCTGATATTCCAGGAGAACATTGTGAGATGTAGAAATTTGATCCCCCTCAAACCGGTTCAGCAGAGTCACACACACTACTGCAGCTGCAAAAAATATTAATAAAAATTAATAAAACGATGACACCACTAAGTGGTCAATGGCATGATAATTAAGTATTACTTGAAGTAGTTTTGAGGTTATAACATGCTGCTTGAAGGAGGTATGAGGCTTATAAACAGTACTGCGTAGCATGACTATACACATGATTGAAGGGTTAGTTCACACAAGATAAAAATTCTGTTATAATTGTTTGTCAGGAACATACTCCAATTGAAGTTATTCATTGAAAACCTTTGCCTTTTAAAAAGCTCTAAAAATTACATGCGGTGCTCAGAAATCTCTAAAACTTGGCATAACTTTGTTGAAAACCAGTGACATGTAGTCCTTATACATCTATTATGGTGCTCCCTCAAATAATAATAATAATACCATTTAAAAAAAACACTCCTCTGTTAACAGTTATAGTGGTGATGAGGACAACAAACAATGCAAACTTCTTAACTACCTTTAAGATTGCAGACACGACACATGGCAGCAAAGACAGTGGATTCCATCTCAATGTTGCTGACACCTGCTTCACTGGCTTTTCTCAGATATTCCAATTTTTCTTCAGTGGAAAATGAGCACAGGGCTCCGTCCAGTCGCCCTTGACCTACACCAGGAAAAAATAAGTTTTAGTGTGCAGTCTTCAAAAGGATGCTTGTGATTAATAAGGTGTAAGAGGCCATGGTGTAAATACAGTCAGCTATTGTTAGGCAAGTTTGATATGTAAACTAAGGTTAATATTTGGCCTTTTAGAGTTACTCCATACTGGCGCACACAATAGCTGGTGAACAGATTGTACGGCAATGCTACAGTTATATAGTATATACTATGTAACACAGCTACACTATATTATATTACATTATATTTTAACACAACTGGAGCACTGTATTGACCAATCAACATCCAAGACCACAACTATCGGTTTTATAAACAAATTCTAATGTTTATGCATTTGACATTTTTAAATTGACGTACATTGCATTGAAGGTACACACCAGTTTATGCAATCACTGGGAATCAAACCCATGATGCTCATATCACTAGCAACATGCTCTACTGTTTGATCTGCGGGAATGCCTCTGTCATGTTTAGTAAGACCAGACCCAGTATGGGCCAAAAACAACAACAACAACAAAATAAAATAGAGAACAATTACTGTACCTTCATAGAAGTCATGCGTGCACATTGTGTTTCCGATAACAGTGGGAATATCTGGAAGCTCTGAGGAATACTGCAGCAGCTCTCGGGCCACATCCTCGTCTAGCTCTGTGCTCCTGATGATTACCTTTCCCAAAACCACCTGCTCAAACTGTGGCCTGAAGAACGAGTCTACAGCTTTATCTGTGATCACTATGGTACCTGCAGGCAGACCTGTGTGTTCAAAGAAAAGGCAAAATAATTTTTTTTTCTGAGAGAATAGGGCAGCAAGCCCATACACTTCATGCCCTCACCATCCAGCAGTATTAAGCTCTAATATAGAATGCTTCACAGTTTGAATTATTGACTGATTACTGTTTGAGTCTCCACAATTGCCATTCAAGTTGGAATCACGTGGGTGATGTATATGCACTTCATAATTCAATCATACAATAAAGCAGGAAGTTCTCACCAATGCCGCCTGACGTGCCAATGCGAAAGATGATGACATCACGACAACGAGCATGATAGAGCAATTTAATGAGCTCATGTAACATGATGGAGATTGAGGGAACGCCCATGCCATGCTGTCAGAGACATCGAAAAATCCATAAGTTATGATGCTGATGAAAAAATTGATGCTAGCCCCATACAGATTTTAAAAAGTAACAATAGAATAGTAAGTTGCATGATTTGAAGTACAAACACAACTTACAGATTGTCTTAAACACCTCTAATCTTTTCCCCCACCTCATTGTGCATTAGCACTTTTAGCACTATTAGCAATATTACTGAATCAGTAAGATTCATATTCAGCGCGAATTTTACATACTCCCACATCACGTGATCTTCATACACAATGTTCAGATCAATTAACAGGCATGTATGATGAATGAACTCATTTAAACACAAGCCTCATCCATATTTGAGATACTCACGCTAATGGACAGCACAGGTCCCACTTTATACATTGAATACCGGTCTGTTCCCTCACAGATATCTCGGATGTCTGCAATGTTGCCGGGCAGCTCCAGCTGCTCATGGATAAACTGGGCAAAAGATCTCATCCGATTGGGACTTCCGCCAACACAGACAAACTACAGAAAGACAATTGTAGCAAAAGGAATCACTTTCCCCACAAAAGTATTTTTTAGATTGAACCATCCATAACATGTCACTCCCTGATTTCACCTGTGTCATGTTACCTTGAATAGTCTTTATTAGTGATTAGTGTAAATATATGCACATGTGTTTGCAGTGTTCAGTGTCAGGTCTTGTCCTTGCATGCCATTTTTTAGTGTGAGCATTTTATGCCCTTCATCAATTATTTCTTAGCTACCAGGCACTAAACTGTGTAACTGACTATAGTGTTAGGCAACATATTTTCTGACATAGCTGTCCTCATAAAATAATTCTGGCTCAAATAAATGTTTCTTATTACTTTCTTGTTTATTTTCTAAGCAACAAGTATTAAGCAACATAATGCACACTCGTTTATCCCTTTGAGAGGATACAAGAGTTTGAGTGTGTTTTCCTGTCAGGATTTTGTTTGTGTGGATTTACACACCTTCACATCTCCAAACATCTGGGGCAGGTCATGGGTCTTGGTGCCTAGGTTGAAGTGGTACAGGATGTCCTCTTCCATGCTGTCCAGATGAGGGTTCTTCACATACTCCACCTGTCTGTGACACATCACATCTGTTATTGACCTAGACTACGACAATAGTGTATTACTCAAAAAGTATCTCCCAAGACATAAGCCAGAACTCTTTACTAAATCTTTACACAACCATCCGCATGACATGTCTAGCTACTTAAACCCTTATCTTATCTAATCTTCTAAACTTTAACTTATTGCGTCTTCTCTGACCTGTTAAAGAAGTATGATTTGAGTAAAATACAGTTTTCTCACTGAATGTAATCGTGTTCATTTCCCATACTGTTCAGTAAGATAGGTGCCATGATTGCATTTCTCATCAATCTGCAAGAAAGTGGAATACATTCAATATTTTCACACAGAGAGATATATGCAGATATATGCACTAAACACCTCCTTAAAATGGTTAGTGAAAGCATCATACGAGTTGATTATGGTACTATTGGCATTCCATATAGCATGAGCCCACAACAGAGCTTTGCCAGTTAATAGGGAAATGAGAAAAGCTACCTTGGAGCGTTCGGTGGGGAATTTCAGAGGTTGCACCTCAAAGAACAGAGAGCCCCCACACTCAGCTGCATCACCCGCGAATGAAGCAGGCAAGGCCATGGGACTTACAGAGGCAGCGGGCGGTGCAGAGACTGGTGTGAGTGAAGTCCGTAGGGTATTGATCTGTTGTACGTCAGGGCTGGTGATTGTGGTGATGATCGTGATTGTGATGGTGTAGAATCCCTGACAGACTAACACAGACAACTGAACAGAACGGAATATAAATACACAGGGGTAAACAAGGGAACTTACTTACTCATTTAGTTCACCTGCATGTCATTAAGGGAACTAACTAGGGTGTGATAAAGACTTAACTGAAAGGGTAAAACATGAAACCAAGAAATATAAACAAAAACGCAATAAAAGACAATTCTGACAGTAATAGGGTCAAGTTTTTTTTATAAATAGCATTAAAAGAGAATAGATAGTGCTAGTGTTAGAGGGTCAAGGTTTTTATTTTTATTTATTAGATTTTTTTAATAAATAAAAAGAAAACAAGTAGATAGACTAGAAATAGAATAGAGAGTGCTTGTTTTAGAGGGTCAAGTGTAGATGGAATGTATGATTTAACTTATTTAAAATTGTAGATAGAGCTGGTATATTCAGTTATTTATTGTTGTGTGTCAGTTCAAATTGGCTTTTTCAGTGAATCAATTCAAAAGTCTAATATAACTCCATTGCGCCATCACTCAAAAATGTTAACGGAACTTTCTGCATGGGTTTTTTCATATATTACAATGACTTAAAGTATTAAAGTATTCAAATAATACTATTTCTTACTATGTATTATATGGGGTACATAGGAATAAAAATGATTAAATAATTTTCTTCCTTGTTTTCATAAAAAATGTTGGAGATGATGATTATGATGGTGTTGATGATTACTATACAATATTGAAAATATATAATTGTTTCAGCTCTGTCATGGGTTGTATGTGTTGAATAGAGTGAATTTCAGGAAAGAACAATTTCAGCAGAAACTGCAGATGCGTGAAGCTGAAGAAAAACAAAAACAGAAGTACGATAAAGAGAGAGAGGAGAGATTGCAGGCTTTACGCAACCAGGTAAACACACATTCCACCTAATGATCTGAATCAGGGTGTAAAACATAATTTGAAGCATTAAAAACAATTGTGCTTATTTGTTTGCTTTAAGGTCTCTAAAGTAGCTGAGGCCAACCCAGAGAGGATGATGGGAAACACAGTGGCGTGGAGAGTACGTCAACAGCCTGAAGAAGTGTTTACATTACAAAGGCCACTGTACCAGCTAAATACATACACTGATACACAGGTAACACACACAGCACATACTGTAGATACCATACTACTTACCCATTCACCTTCCAACACACAAACACACATGAAGCATTTTATCAGTCAACACAACTATGAATGAATGAATGAATGAATGATGTATTTATATAGCGCTTTATTGTGTATTGCTGTACACCCAAAGCGCTTTACAATCATATCAACCACCACCAGTGTGCAGCATCCACTTGGCAGTATTACTTGAGTATTACGTGCATGCCTGTTGGTTTTCAATATGAATTACATATCTTGCACACAACATATGGGCTATTTCATTAGAAATATTAGATTAAAAATCAATATTTCAAATGCCATTTATAATTTGTATTTCAAATGTCTTTCATTATAATTAATCATTTAATTCATAGGCCTTCAACCCTGTTCTTGAACACCCACTGTCCTGCAGAGTTAAGCTAAAACCCTAACCAAACACACATGAACCCGTTAAACAAAACCTTCAGGATCACGTGAAAAATCACAGGCCAGGTTTGCTGAAGTAGGTTGTAAATAAAATTTGCAGGACAGTGGGTCCCCTGGAGCAGGGTTGAAGACCTAGGATTTAATTAGTTTAATTAAATTTCACATTTTACTGAATTGTAATTTCATTTTTCTCTTCCTGTCATTTTAGTGTAATTCCAGTTTAACATCTTGTGGGAAGTGGCCAATTCAATTTCAAATTCATGATTTGAAAGAGTCGATTCTTAAATTCAGAAAATTTCCCAACCCTGTCTTCTGATTGTCTGCTCATGTACATGGGACAATTTGTTTCTGCCAATAATAATGGTTAACCTGTGATGACATTTTGGGACTCTGACGTTTACAGAGTCACTGGCCAAGGCCAAACAGTGAAACAGCTTTTTTTCCAGACATTTGTTTCATAACATGGAGATTCAACTGCACATCCTGTAAATAAACATACAACAGAGATAAGTTACTGACTTTAACCTTGTTCATGTTAAAGCAGATCAACCTGTCAACAGCTGCTCTGGTTACAGAATTACAGTCTAGAAAACACTGAACTATTATAGGAATCCATTTACTTTAAAGGCTGATGTGTTTGAACTTAGATTTTGGTGACATATGGATTTGTAATCGATTGATAATGCCATGTATAATTAAAAGAGTCTCTTATTATTTTGTCTTTCTTTCAGATTGTGTCTGATCCCAGAGTGCGTATTGAACAAGCACTCAGAACCGCAGGTCTCCATAACATCCCTTATGCAAGACAGATTCTATCTGAGATCCAACCTCTGAAGCCACCCAGACGAGACACGGAGTCCACTGCCTTCAGAACCTGACCAATAATTATATGAATGTAATCATCTTTTCATATATACAAGTCATGCTGTGTCTACCTGAGGTCTACTGTCTACATATTTTTAACCATATTCCCTTGGACACTTTATTCAATATTTGGAGGATTGATTGATACGTCAAAGTCTTGATCTCAGAAGAGAAAGAATATTTCATTCCTCATGATATGACCAGCATGCTTGAGGAAAACAGACGTAACCATTTTGGGCTTATGTTTTTTTGACAGTGTTATTTACTTTTTTGTAAAAAAAAATTTGTAAAAAAAAAGAAGCATTTTGTGGTAAGAAGTGAGACTATGACCCACAACACTGTACTGCAGTTCATAAACCTCATGCAGCTTTTTATAACAAAGTTCTAAGCCATTCGAAACCTCTTGAGACACAGAATCCAGCATTTCCAGAATAATCAGTTGCTTTGAGTTTGTTATACTGTATTAATAGTATCAAGTGTTAATTAAAGTACAAACCCACATGACTCATTTCATGAACTTAACATATACTTTATTTAGATCAGTTTATTTCTACTTATACACCAAATCTACCCTCAACAATCATGTTACTACAAAATGAATGCTTAGGATTAAAAAAAATCATTTATTTGTAAAGGTACAGTGTAAAAGGCCAGTGTGAAAACACCATACATGTAAATCAAATATATATATTTTAAATTATGTTAAAATACACACAAACTGTTTCAGTACTAGTAACTAGTAAAAGTGAGGTGTGTTCAGTTCATTAGAGTTGATATATAAGGAAGTACACTGTGGATGGTGTGAAAATGTGAAAGTCACCTTTAAATAACACAAACACACTATGAACAGTATTATATACACTGTAGATCATTACAGGATTTTATGAGATAAGTCCAAGGCGTTTCTTGATGAAATGAGCCACGAGGCACTGCGGTCTCTGCTGATATTCCAGGAGAACATTGTGAGATGTAGAAATTTGATCCCCCTCAAACCGGTTCAGCAGAGTCACACACACTACTGCAGCTGCAAAAAATATTAATAAAAATTAATAAAACGATGACACCACTAAGTGGTCAATGGCATGATAATTAAGTATTACTTGAAGTAGTTTTGAGGTTATAACATGCTGCTTGAAGGAGGTATGAGGCTTATAAACAGTACTGCGTAGCATGACTATACACATGATTGAAGGGTTAGTTCACACAAGATAAAAATTCTGTTATAATTGTTTGTCAGGAACATACTCCAATTGAAGTTATTAATTGAAAACCTTTGCCTTTTAAAAAGCTCTAAAAATTACATGCGGTGCTCAGAAATCTCTAAAACTTGGCATAACTTTGTTGAAAACCAGTGACATGTAGTCCTTATACATCTATTATGGTGCTCCCTCAAATAATAATAATAATACCATTTAAAAAAAACACTCCTCTGTTAACAGTTATAGTGGTGATGAGGACAACAAACAATGCAAACTTCTTAACTACCTTTAAGATTGCAGACACGACACATGGCAGCAAAGACAGTGGATTCCATCTCAATGTTGCTGACACCTGCTTCACTGGCTTTTCTCAGATATTCCAATTTTTCTTCAGTGGAAAATGAGCACAGGGCTCCGTCCAGTCGCCCTTGACCTACACCAGGAAAAAATAAGTTTTAGTGTGCAGTCTTCAAAAGGATGCTTGTGATTAATAAGGTGTAAGAGGCCATGGTGTAAATACAGTCAGCTATTGTTAGGCAAGTTTGATATGTAAACTAAGGTTAATATTTGGCCTTTTAGAGTTACTCCATACTGGCGCACACAATAGCTGGTGAACAGATTGTACGGCAATGCTACAGTTATATAGTATATACTATGTAACACAGCTACACTATATTATATTACATTATATTTTAACACAACTGGAGCACTGTATTGACCAATCAACATCCAAGACCACAACTATCGGTTTTATAAACAAATTCTAATGTTTATGCATTTGACATTTTTAAATTGACGTACATTGCATTGAAGGTACACACCAGTTTATGCAATCACTGGGAATCAAACCCATGATGCTCATATCACTAGCAACATGCTCTACTGTTTGATCTGCGGGAATGCCTCTGTCATGTTTAGTAAGACCAGACCCAGTATGGGCCAAAAACAACAACAACAACAAAATAAAATAGAGAACAATTACTGTACCTTCATAGAAGTCATGCGTGCACATTGTGTTTCCGATAACAGTGGGAATATCTGGAAGCTCTGAGGAATACTGCAGCAGCTCTCGGGCCACATCCTCGTCTAGCTCTGTGCTCCTGATGATTACCTTTCCCAAAACCACCTGCTCAAACTGTGGCCTGAAGAACGAGTCTACAGCTTTATCTGTGATCACTATGGTACCTGCAGGCAGACCTGTGTGTTCAAAGAAAAGGCAAAATAATTTTTTTTTCTGAGAGAATAGGGCAGCAAGCCCATACACTTCATGCCCTCACCATCCAGCAGTATTAAGCTCTAATATAGAATGCTTCACAGTTTGAATTATTGACTGATTACTGTTTGAGTCTCCACAATTGCCATTCAAGTTGGAATCACGTGGGTGATGTATATGCACTTCATAATTCAATCATACAATAAAGCAGGAAGTTCTCACCAACGCCGCCTGACGTGCCAATGCGAAAGATGATGACATCACGACAACGAGCATGATAGAGCAATTTAATGAGCTCATGTAACATGATGGAGATTGAGGGAACGCCCATGCCATGCTGTCAGAGACATCGAAAAATCCATAAGTTATGATGCTGATGAAAAAATTGATGCTAGCCCCATACAGATTTTAAAAAGTAACAATAGAATAGTAAGTTGCATGATTTGAAGTACAAACACAACTTACAGATTGTCTTAAACACCTCTAATCTTTTCCCCCACCTCATTGTGCATTAGCACTTTTAGCACTATTAGCAATATTACTGAATCAGTAAGATTCATATTCAGCGCGAATTTTACATACTCCCACATCACGTGATCTTCATACACAATGTTCAGATCAATTAACAGGCATGTATGATGAATGAACTCATTTAAACACAAGCCTCATCCATATTTGAGATACTCACGCTAATGGACAGCACAGGTCCCACTTTATACATTGAATACCGGTCTGTTCCCTCACAGATATCTCGGATGTCTGCAATGTTGCCGGGCAGCTCCAGCTGCTCATGGATAAACTGGGCAAAAGATCTCATCCGATTGGGACTTCCGCCAACACAGACAAACTACAGAAAGACAATTGTAGCAAAAGGAATCACTTTCCCCACAAAAGTATTTTTTAGATTGAACCATCCATAACATGTCACTCCCTGATTTCACCTGTGTCATGTTACCTTGAATAGTCTTTATTAGTGATTAGTGTAAATATATGCACATGTGTTTGCAGTGTTCAGTGTCAGGTCTTGTCCTTGCATGCCATTTTTTAGTGTGAGCATTTTATGCCCTTCATCAATTATTTCTTAGCTACCAGGCACTAAACTGTGTAACGTGTTAGGCTGTTAGGCAACATATTTTCTGACATAGCTGTCCTCATAAAATAATTCTGGCTCAAATAAATGTTTCTTATTGTTTATTTTTTTATTTTCTAAGCAACAAGTATTAAGCAACATAATGCACACTCGTTTATCCCTTTGAGAGGATACAAGAGTTTGAGTGTGTTTTCCTGTCAGGATTTTGTTTGTGTGGATTTACACACCTTCACATCTCCAAACATCTGGGGCAGGTCATGGGTCTTGGTGCCTAGGTTGAAGTGGTACAGGATGTCCTCTTCCATGCTGTCCAGATGAGGGTTCTTCACATACTCCACCTGTCTGTGACACATCACATCTGTTATTGACCTAGACTACGACAATAGTGTATTACTCAAAAAGTATCTCCCAAGACATAAGCCAGAACTCTTTACTAAATCTTTACACAACCATCCGCATGACATGTCTAGCTACTTAAACCCTTATCTTATCTAATCTTCTAAACTTTAACTTATTGCGTCTTCTCTGACCTGTTAAAGAAGTATGATTTGAGTAAAATACAGTTTTCTCACTGAATGTAATCGTGTTCATTTCCCATACTGTTCAGTAAGATAGGTGCCATGATTGCATTTCTCATCAATCTGCAAGAAAGTGGAATACATTCAATATTTTCACACAGAGAGATATATGCAGATATATGCAGAAATAAATTCCTTTTTTTTATACCTTACAGCAACTGTATTTTTAAAAGATATCCTTTAATCGTTTAGATTTTTCTACTTGTAATTTTCCCCCCTCTTTACTATGTAGACCTTAGTGAACATGTCAATCAGAACGCAGCTCAGTTCATGAAGCTGTTGATCTGAATCTGGTGTGTCAGATAAGCAAGACATACAACATTTGAAGAGCGGCCAGAACCAGAATTGAGAACCTGTGCTCCACACATTCTTATAGATCTTGCTTAAAGTGTAATCAAATTTGATGTAACCTTAAATCTGCTGTCTAGCTCTTGTCTGGTCAGGACTTACAAACCTTAACATCCCCAAACATCTGGGGCAGGTCATGGGTCTTGGTGCCTAGGTTGAAGTGGTACAGGATGTCCTCTTCCATGCTGTCCAGATGAGGGTTCTTCACATACTCCACCTGTCTGTGACACATCACATCTGTTATTGACCTAGACTACGACAATAGTGTATTACTCAAAAAGTATCTCCCAAGACATAAGCCAGAACTCTTTACTAAATCTTTACACAACCATCCGCATGACATGTCTAGCTACTTAAACCCTTATCTTATCTAATCTTCTAAACTTTAACTTATTGCGTCTTCTCTGACCTGTTAAAGAAGTATGATTTGAGTAAAATACAGTTTTCTCACTGAATGTAATCGTGTTCATTTCCCATACTGTTCAGTAAGATAGGTGCCATGATTGCATTTCTCATCAATCTGCAACAAAGTGGAATACATTCAATATTTTCACACAGAGAGATATATGCAGATATATGCAGAAATAAATTCCTTTTTTTATACCTTACAGCAACTGTATTTTTAAAAGATATCCTTTAATCGTTTAGATTTTTCTACTTGTAATTTTTCCCCCTCTTTACTATGTAGACCTTAGTGTGTCATCAGAACCTTTGGAGAATAAAAATGTGTCTCTCTAAGACAAGCTCTTATATAGAGCTCAGCATGCATTGATTGGTTATAGAGGGAGG